CGCTCCCCCCCCCCCCCCCCCCCCCCCTCCGCCCCCCTAAATTTCCGAAAGAGTTTTTACTACGAGAAAGCTCTTCGATTCCACCGCTGGGCGGCGGACCACGTCCAATCCCTCATCGAGGGCACCTACGGCCGGAGGATGAAGAGGTGGGGCGGCATTGTGGACAGCCTGATTAACAACCTCACCTTCGAGACGAGGGACGTACACCTTAGGTAAGAGGCACACGCGGAGGGCGGAACCCCGACACGCGAGAAAAACAAACAGGAGGGAAGTATCTATTAGGCGTTCGGTAACCATGAATTGTTTTTGGTTTGTTTTGTTTCCGTGCGGTTATTCTTGGTGTGCGTAAGGCAGTATGGCACTCGTGTAGGACGTTTCCTATCGTGGTGAGGAGATTTGGAGCGCTGTTCTAGTAGTTTTTCCTTGCTTTGTCCGCGTGTTGTGAAGAGGGGCGGAGAGAGGCGGAGGGGACAGCAAAAGGCGGAGTTAAACTAAATGACAGGCGGTGATACAACTGCAGAGCAGCAGCGTCAGATGGCGGTGGCCCAGCTTGGTGATCTTGCCACTCGCTCTCGTTTCTGACGGCATCACCGCTGCCGTACAAGGCTAGCGGATGACACGGACGTTTTTCCACCGACCGCCCGACCGACCGCCCTGTTCTACGCCTTCTCCGTGCCGCCGCCGCCGCCTCCCGGCCTGTCTGCCTACCCTCGCTCGCAGAATCGACGACCGCTTAAACGGGCACTGCTTTGGGATGTTCGTTGATGTGTTTGACTGCAAGCCCGGGGTGCAGGAGCCGGAGTCGCTGGGGGCGACCCCGCACGAGTTCGCCGTGGAGGGGGTGTTGTTCTACGTCGACCCCCACAACGAGGTCGCGCTCAGCCCGCAGTGCACCGCGATGACCGTAAGTTTGGGTTACACTGGTGTTGGTGGTGATCGCGCGATTGACGGCAAGGAAAGGAAGTACACACTGCATCGTGCCCTACCAAAAAAACACAACGCAACACAAGCTCTTTCTGTGATCATGATTTCCCTTCCTGGGTGCCCTGCGTACATGCGTGTGGCCGCCGTGACCAACAAAGATGGACGAGGGCACATTCCGCGTCGAGTTCCCCGACATCTTCAGGACCCTTATCCTCAACCGCGAGATCATGCCGGGGGGCAGGGGCAAGCGGCTGCGAGTCCGAGGAGACTTCACCGGGATCGTTGCGAACCTACAGGCTAACCAGGCAAGTAGCCGGTAGAGGGATACAGTACGGTAGATTGCGGTGTTTGTTTTCGTGGAGTTGCGGACCAAAGGTAGCCTTGGGGGTGCTGGTGGACGATTTAAGCTCTCTGTCACTCACTCTCTCTCTCTCTCTCTCTCTCTCTCTNTCTCTCTCTCTCTCTCTCTCTCTCTCTCTCTCTCTCTCTCTCTCGACGTTAGTTCCCGTGTAGCTGCGGACGGTCGGATAGACGGGCGAAGGATTGGATGCGATTATGTGTTTTCTGCCCGCTAACCCGTCGTTGTGTCTGACGGCGAGTAGTCCCGTCCTACCCCCCCCTTCATCTCTCGACGGCCTGTATACCTGTATGTGACCTTCAGCCCCATGCGTACCAATTGTACGGTACAATCAATTGGAAGCGCACTGCTCTTCCTGGTGTGTTGCTTTTGAGCACATGTCGACAGAATACCCAAGAAACTACTCTTTTCTTGAGCATACCACCCACATTTTAGTGTTGTTTTTTTGTTTCTCACAGTTTGGCCTAACCGCGCCCTTACCGAAACGAAACGAACGGCTTTCTTTCCCTCCCTTCTCCCCTCGAAACACTTGCACCGCCTCGGGGGCATCAGATGCGGACGTTTCTGTTCAACCTCTTGGGGACGTTTTGCCCGTACAAGTACAGCGCGTGGAAAGCAACCATTAGGGAGCAGGTGCGAATGCTTCGGAGCGTCGGTAGTGTGTTTGTGCTTGCAGCGCCATGTGTGGGCTGCTCGGACGACACGTGCGTCGTCCCCTTTATCCCGGACGCCAGTCCTTCAACGTTTCGGTATACAGTAGCGGCTACGGTTTAAGAGAGGGTTGGTCCAAGCCAATTTTGCTCTCTTAAATCGGTATTTCTGTTAAACCGTTTTGGCTACGCTCTAAGAGAGTATTCCTTTGAACAATATCTCACTTTAAGAGAAAATTACCTTATACCATAGCAAACTCGAAAGGTCGTGGAACACTGACACCCTGACGCCCACTCCAGCAGTATGTGCCGTCAGAGCTCATGGAGAGCCTATCATTTACGTATGTCACATGACCCAGCTGGCGTCAGCACCTTTGGCTAGCTCCACACAAAGCTTTGTCTGTTGATCGGCGAGCGATATGGACCCAAGTCACGGTACGCTCTTGGAACCTGTGCTGGGAGATTGGACTAAGTATGATGTTNGCCCACTCCAGCAGTATGTGCCGTCAGAGCTCATGGAGAGCCTATCATTTACGTATGTCACATGACCCAGCTGGCGTCAGCACCTTTGGCTAGCTCCACACAAAGCTTTGTCTGTTGATCGGCGAGCGATATGGACCCAAGTCACGGTACGCTCTTGGAACCTGTGCTGGGAGATTGGACTAAGTATGATGTTGTCGTGTGGCACACTTAGTGCCCGCAGACGCCTCTGCATTTGTGTATTGTGAATTGAGGCGGGCCTGGCGTGTCGTCGGGCATAGTGCAGCGGTCGCCCGCTGCGCAGGGCATGGTGTCTACTGCTGTGTCTGTGTTGAGAGCTGTGGGATGTGTGTATGGCTGCGTGACGTGGCCTCAAGAGCTCGATTTGAGAGAAAAACTCAGAAGTATGCCAAATTTCTCTTCAATCGATTTTGGTCGTGCCGAGCGATTTACCTCTCTTAAACCCGTACCTTCTCTTAAAAATTCCTCCTGTAATCGTAGCCGCTACTGTATGTTCTGGACACATGAGCCGGCGTTACACAAGCGCAGGTCGCACAGAGGACTGTTTTTTTCTTTCTCTCCACCTTCCTTCTCGATGGGATATGAGTCAACGTTTTACCGGCCAAGCCAGATTCATTTCGTGTTTTTGAATCAGCCGCGTGCCTCAGAGCGCAATCGCAATCGTGTTTTCTGGCACGATATTCTTGTCGTCAGGCGGCCGCCGACTGCAGGCCAGTGTCACCCTCGCTCCGGCGGGAATACATCGACACGTTTGGAACAGCGCGACAGGAGAACGAGTTGAAAGCGGCGCAAAAGAAGGAGCGCGCGGACAAACTCATCGTGAGTGATACAACGTACCCGGTTTTGGTTGCTGTTGTCAAATACTTCTACCTGCTTCAGTGTGCGTACAATTAATTAGAGTAACGTCGCTGTGTTGGGGCACTTTCTAGCGCGCTGTCTGTGCGTTCCTTGTTGATCACGGTCAACGACATCCCGGATTCTGGCTGGCTGTCTGGCTGGATTTTTTTCGATGCCTTGCCTGTTGTCAGATTATCCTGGGGTGTTTGCTTGTTGTTGCTGCCGCACGTGTGCACCTCCGTTCACCTGTGCCTGTTTTTTTTTCCAGGAGCTAGAGCGACGAATTTGCTACTTTGTTCCCTTTTGTCACGTTTCCCATAGATACGGATCTGTTGTTCTGGTCTGTTGTTCTCGTCTGTAGACTATTCGGTTGAAGCTGCGATTCGCCCATGAGCGCAACAAAACCGCGTATGTGCATCCAGAACAATTTGGTGTTGTTGTCGAAGAGACTACACTTGGATGGGCATCAGCTCATGTTTGATCGCCCCGTCCATTCGCAACCGCTTTTCCCTGTGAACCGTTTGCCTCCTTTGTGCCGTTGCCGACGCGTTCCCGTGTGAAACTTTTTCCTTTTTTATCTTTGTTGTCGCTACTATTTCTGAGCAGGAGCTAGAGCGACGCATGTCGTACCGCGACATCCTTCTCGTGCGGAAGGAGGCCCGCGGCTGGCGGCTGGAGGACATGGGGGGGGGGGGCGAGGAGCCCGCGGGGACAAGCCCTCCCCTCGATCCCGAGCTAATGGAGGGCGTCGAAGAGGGGGATCCCGGGGTGGGAGGAATGAGAGTACCAACAGAAAATATTATCGTGTTTCAAGCGACACGCGTTGTATGAGGATGTTGAAAACTGCTTGGTGTTTGTTTTTGTTTTGTTTTTCTCCCATCATTGGACTCTGTCGTCTTCCCCTCTGGCCCCTATCCTCCACTTCTACCAGCTAGACGACCCAACCGGGGTCACATAGGAGGGCGGGGGTTGGACCCCCTCCTGCGGTTCCTGCCTGAGATATTTTTATCGCGAGAAGGGTACAGCAATCCCTTCCCTCGCGACTTATGAAGTCGATCAAGCTTTACTAACAACGAGCTTTGCAGCGCGTCGCTTCCAAGGTAGACCAGGATTTAATTAGCGAGAAAAAACCCACTCTGTCGGGACTCCAACCCATGACCTGGCCCTTAGTAGGCTACGAGGCTACCCACTAGACCACCGGGGCGACCGGTGTGTGCAAGGGGGGACAAGGGACGTTCCGTTTGTAAGTTTATACGCTTGTAAATTACGTGGCTGCTGTTTTTGTGCCTTCCAATGTGCATTTCGTTTTCCAACTCCAGACCACTAGCAGGTCAGCGAAGTTGTACGGTAGACTACATTCCAGTGATGACGTGGTTGCTATTCTTTCTAGACATGCCTGAAACCTCGCCCTCCTGAGTTTGGAACGTTTCCGTCTTTTTGTTTCAAATCCAGAACATTTTTTTTTGGTCTTTCCCCCCATATGATTGTGGCTGCCTAGGCTTCTTGTGCCGTGCTTTGCAAAGAGGCCACTCCGGTTGATGTAACCAAGGGATGTTAGTATCCAACGCTTCCGATTTCCAAAGATGGTGGTACCGTATGAGTAAATCGTGCAACTCTCGGTCCGTCCGTCGTTCGTGTCCCCTCATCGTGTCTTGCTGTTGGTTTTGGCAGTACGAGGAGCTGGCTCAGTTCGCGGCGAAGGTGCAGGGCCTGAAGCTTTCTGCTTGGGAAATCAGCACTTGCCTCCGAGAGATCATGGTCGAGACGGTCATCGCTCGCCAGGTCGAAGTCCGACTGTACACGAAGGCAAGTGGGCTATTGCTGTTTTAGCTTGGTACGGCCGGTAAGCTTGGTGGGATTGCTCTTGAGTTGAGGTGACGAGCTACCTTGGTTTGCCCTTGAGTTGTCGGGTGAGCGTGGTTCGGTTGCCGTTGAGTTGTGAAGTGAGCTATTTGTTGGGCAAGCTTGGTGGGGTTGCCCTTGATGTGTGGGGTGAGCTACATAGACACGGAACTGTCCTTTGATTGGTTGGGCGAACTTGAGCTGGAACCTTATACCAACTGCTCTGACTCGGGCCACCGAATTTGATGCCTGTCGCTGTTGCCCTCAGGCTGACAGCGCCGACGGCCCAGAGGACAAGACGTTCAAGTCTCCTCTGCAGGCCGTGCTGTTCGCCGGAAGTATGGAAGGGCGCTTCCGGCTGTTCATAGCCCGAACCAAGGCCAGCAATCGGTATGTAGGGCGGAGATAATCCCCCGCTCGCTCGCAGTCGCTGCTGCTCGTGTCCCCCCCCCCCTCCCACACTGTTTACCGGCCATTGCTACTACTCCCGATGGCGGCGCGGTTGGGCGGAGAAATACCGTCGGATACGTGTAGTCTTCCTTGTTTGTGGGCACGTTGAACACCGCTATCACCATCTATGTCTACCCCAGTATCTCGATACTCCGTGTTTCCATATCGAGCCGGTAAGAAATCATTTTCGTGGTGACCGGCGTGCCACAAAACGAGGTCAAATGTGTTCGCCAATTTTCCTTGTTGACAGAACTAAGTTAAGTTGCGTTTCATCCCCCTCTGTCTCCCATACTTCCCCTCTCCCGATGGCACCTCCTTCTCCGTTCAAGGCTTCACTCTCGAGGGGCGAACGGGGTCGACGGTGAGCCCACCCTGCCGTGGCTCTTGGCGGGCGGCACGATGCAGCACCCGGTGGTGCTAGACGAAGCCACGGCGACCCGGTTTGGCTACGGGTCGAGCTGCGTTTTGGGGCCGGCGGAGGCGGTAAGGGTGGCTCAACGAGACAGCGGCGCCGTGCGTGAAGGCACGGCTGGACGACGCGCGGACGACAGCAAGAGCGAGAGCGGCGCCGTCCCGGAAGTCGGCGGATACTTCCGGATGTGGAGCAACTACCGCATGGCCCTGGAAGGGCACGCGAGCAACGTGCAGGCGGGCGCCCTCCTCCCCCCGGTCCTGGACATGGCGAGGACGGTGGCGGACACCTTCCGCCGCCGCTGGGCGACCGGCGGGGAGTACCCCGAGCGCGTGTTGGCGCGCGTGAGGCTCGCGGAGAGGAGGGACGAGGGTGATGATGACGCCGAGGCCGGCGGCGGCTCGGCGGCGGTGGTTGCCGCCCCGAGCGTCGGGCGCGCTGAAGCGGTGAAAGTCGGCGCCGCTAGTGGGAAGGGCGACAACACCAAGGGTAGTTTGGCAAAGGTGGCGGAGAGGGACCGACGAGAAGGGGAGAGTGAGACGGAGGGGGATCTTGACGACAGCGACGACAACCAGGACGCCGTTCCCGCGGGACGGGTGCCGGGAGACGATCGTGAGGATGCTACTTGCGATAGCGGCGGCGGCGGTAGCGGCAGCGGCAGCGGCCAGAAGCAGCGGCAGGGACAGCCCCCGCAACACGGCGGCTTGAGGCAGGTCTTGTCCCGGCTCGACGGGCTCGACAGCGGGGCGCTGGTCGAGCGTGCCCTGGAGGACCATCTGCACGGGGAAGGGGAGGAGGAGACCAGCGCCGGTGAAGAAGGTGCTTCAGGCGGCGGCGGCGGCGGCGGCGGCAGCCGTCATTTTTCCGGCGATGGCGGCGCGGCGGATGGTACCGACGACGACGGGGGTTCAGAGGGGGAGACCGCCGCTCTCGCGGCGGGGGCTTCGGCAGCGGTGGTGCTTTCGACGAACACTCGGGCCGGAGGTTTGGCGGGGGACGGCGGTTCGGCGACGGCCACGAGCACGCCCGACGGTGATGGCGAGGCGGCGGCGGCGGCGGCGGTGGCGGTAGCGCTTACCGGAGACGGCGATACGTCTTCTGCTTCAGCCCGGGACCGGGAGGGGGCGGAGGCGGTGGAGGCGGGGATGCAGGCTTCCGGCGAGGAGAAGTTCATGCTCCCGGGGTGGCACTACCTCGCGCTCTCGGGCAGGTCCCTGTCGATGGACTTCCGGTGGTCGAACATGGACGTGGTGCTCATGCAGGACCCGACGGCGCGGCAGGGGCGCGACACCGGCAAGAACGTCCTCGCGCTGCGGTCGACGGGCACGCTCATGGTGAGCAGCTCCGGCGTCGGAGAGTCCGTCGACGTCCAGCTCCGGGACGCATCCCTGCTGCCCTGCTTCTACGCCGACGAGGGCGGCGGCGAGAACGTTGGGAGCGTTTCTTCTCCTCCCGCCGCCGCCGAAGCCGGCGGCGACGGCGGTGTCCCGGCGCAACGCCTCGCCGTGATCCTCGGCGGAGGCGAGAGCGCCTTGAGAGCGGTGGCGAGGACGTGGCTCGGGCAGGGGCTCGTGACGGCGGACTCCCGCCCGCTGTTGGAGCCGTTCACGGTTCAGGTCGGGTACGGGACGGTGGTCGCGCAGGCCGCCGTCGAAGGCCGCGGGACTGGCGTCACGGATGGCCGGAGACGCCGATCGTCCGCCCTGTCTGGCCACGACGACTCGGAGGATGATGAGGGCAACGACGAGGATGATGGTGATGGTGGGGACGGTGGCTTGGTGGTCAAGCCTCCGGTCGGGAGGGGGGAGGACAGCGGGCTGTCGAACGAAGACGGAGGGGTCGTGAAAGGGGGCGGACTAGATCAGTCCGCGGCGGGGGAGACGGTTGCCGGCGTATTTCGAGTGGCCGTTTCCGAGGTGGAGCTGATGCTGTCGAGCGCAAAGCGAAAGGCCGAGGAGGTCGGAACAATCGAAGTCGAGGTGAGAGCGGCGACCGCCACCGCCGCGTCGTTTGTGCTGGAGTCCCCTCGGTCCAGCTTGTGCCGATTTTGCTGTATTTGATATCACATGCTTGTCTTACTAGACCCCGGAGAGTTTCCTCCTGGGTGGGCGAGCGAAAGCGCAAGGCGATTAGGCTGCAAACTTTCAACCCTATTCCTAACGCCTCTCCTTGCCCTGTCATAGAGACATAAAATCAACTCTTTGATGACACGCTTTTTTTATCACGCAAAGTATGTGTATGTCCGGCTTTTTCTATGCTTCAGCGATGACCGTCTTGGTGTTTTCCTTCCGCACTCATTTGAAACCTCGTACTTGGGCCGGCCTACTCTCACGCACCGGGCGGCGACCCTCGCGAAAAAACGCTCCCCCTCTTGGAACCGGGGGCACCCGCTTTCCGCAGGTCGACGGCCAGACGCGGTCGTTCGGGGCGTCGGATGTCTTGCCGCCAACCCCGACCACCGCTGCTGTGGGCGAGGCAACCGTTGTCGAGCTTGAGTTCGCTTGCCGTTGCCGCCTCCGTCGCCGCCGCCGCCGCGGCCGGAGAAGAAGACGAGAAGAAATCGCGGCCGACGGAGGAGGAGGCGGCGGCCGCGGCGGCGGCGGCGGCACGCCCGGTGTCCCGGCCGACACGACCGCTCTCGACTCCTCCTCCGGCGGCGAGCAAGACAGAGGGGGCCACCGCCGCCGGCAGCGGGGGGCCGGCGGCGGTGCCGGAGCCGGGGTCGATCCAGAACAAGAGGCCGGCGGAGAAGAGGACGACGGGGTAGGCGGGCGGCGTGACGCTGAACCGGAGGCCGCGGCGAAGGTACGACTCCTAACGGCGGAGGGCGAGGTGCTGGGAGAGGCGTTGGCGGAGCTAGCGGGTGCGCCGGATGACTGGGCGCGGTACCCACTCTACTCTCCCGGTGGCGGTTCAGGGGAGGGCGACAGCGGTGCGGAGAGAAAAGGAGGCGGTAGATCTGGTTCGGGTGAGACATCGGCTGCGGCGGCGGTGGCGGCGGCGGCCAATAGGCGCAAAGCTACGACCGGCCTGGACAGGGGGGGTGTGATCCCACGCCCCCCCGCGGCGGTGCGCAGGCGTTGGGGCTGGGGCTACCGGCGAGACAGGGATGCGGCGACACCTCGGTCGTGGTTCCGCCCGAGACCGCCGTCGAGGGACGTCGCCGGTGAGGTGAGGCTTCGCCTGGGGTGGGTGCCGTCCGGCCTTGCCGTGACCGTTCACCGTTGCCGGGCGGGCGCAGCGGCGGCGATGTCGACGGCGTCGAGCGCGGGCTTGGTCGAAACGCTGCTGCTCGCTGGCACCGGCCGGCGACGGCGGTCGATACTCGTTAGCGCCGAGCCCGGGGGCGGGACTGCTCGAGCCCACCCGGTTAGAGATGACAGCGGTGTTGAGGCACAGGATGTCTGGGGGTTGACCGCGGTTGATGCGTCGAGCACCGGTGGAGAGTCGAGAGTAGTAGTCGCCACTAAACCAGAGAGCTCGGCGCAAGACGATCGGTCGTCGTCCTCTGGTAGCCAAGAGGTTATCCCCGGCGGCGGCGGCGGCGGCGGCGGCCCGGACCCGGGCGCCGCCGGGGGCGAGGGCGAGAGCTCGGAGAGGCTCTTCTTTGTTCTCGATACCTCGTGCCTCTTGGGTGGGTGGAACGGTGACGGCGGCGGTGCCCGTCTCCTCTTGTCCGCGGCGGGCGAAGAAGAAGAGGAGGAGGAGGCTGCTGCCTGCTGGCAAGGCGACCCTGCCGCGGAGACCATCGGCGCCGCCTCTGGCGCAAGAGAGGAGGGACCGGGCGCCGCGACGGCCGAGCTTCTCCTTTTCCCGGGAGCAGAGCCGGCGCGTCGCTGGGTGCCGCTGACCGACCCGGCCGGCAGGGTGACGGAGGAGGTGGACGTTACGATCGCGTGGGCAGTGGCGCCACCGCCGCCGCCGCCGCCGCCACCATTGTCGCCAACCCGCCGCCCTTCTTGTTCCAGCGCGACAGCGGGTGAAACCCGAGAACAGCCTGATTCTGCCGTGAGTGACGGACAGGTGACCTCGTCGTCGGCAGCAGCAGCAGCAGTGTCTCTTTCTTCCCGAAGAGGCAGTGAAGCCGTCAGGGAAGAACCCACGGCGGCGGATGCTTCGCCGGAAGCGCTCGTTGTCCCTGGCAAGGAAACGGCAGGCGGCGGCGGCGGCGGCGGCGGCGGCCCCAAAGAGGGTGGCGGTCTGGACACGAAATCAGTAGCAGCCGACCGAGAAAAAACGGACAAGGCGACGGCGGCGGCGGCGGCGGCGGCGGGGTTAGCAAGCGCCGACGAGAGCAGGGGAGGCGAACCGTTCCTGGAGCCGACTCAGGTCGTGTCCCGGTGCTTCTCGATGCACACGTCTGATCTGGTGTTTCGGGTCTCGGACCTTGACATGGCGGTGCTGGTCACCATGGCTAAAGGCATCGTGCGGGTGCGTGATCTACGTTTGTTAGCTTTGTTTTTTTGTACGGTGGTTGGGTTTGGGTGGCATGTTTTGGGTTGTCTTTTGGCAAGGTTTGACCCATGTTTTTGTGTGCTTTGGGCTGCTCGATGTCCATCCACTGGGCGACCGACGATCTCGATTTCGACCATCGTGTTTCAAAAAAGGCTGAGCCGCCACAGCTTCGAATGTTCTGGGTGGACGTTTGGATCTCCGAGTGAGTAGCATGCCACTACCCGCTCACCAACGAAAACAGGGGCCATTTATCCGTCAAACAAACGATTCATCAACGAGCGTTTTCTAGTCCGCGTCGCCCCCCGATCAGGTGTGCTTGCGCGTGCCGTGCGTTGCTTCAATGCACTTGTTGGCCCCGATTTTGCGATCCCCTGTTCGGCGAGCAACCACGCAAGATCGGGTGGCACCGCTGCAGCTCGACCAATAGCCGCTTTGCCGGGCAATAGCGACCTACCCGGCAACAGCGACCTAGTCCGAGTAGCGACCAGGTTCCCTCGAAATACTAGCGGTCGATAAACACGGGCCCACCACCACTGTAGTCTATGTCTCGCGTTGAAACATGTATTGTGTGTGTGTTCGTCTCATCTCTTCTGGCGCCAGTCGACTGGCCTTTGGGCGTGTATATTTGACGTATCAGCCGGGGTCACAACAGACGAAGGTCACACGGAACTCTTGCATTTATTTGTTTGTTGTTGTGCCGCACCTTTTCGTGAGCCTTGTTTTTCCATCGCTGCCCATTTCCTTCGTCCAATCGGTGCAGATCCTGAGGCCGCCAAAGAGCAAGGAGGAGAAGGAGCTGGAGCTGGAAGCCGTCCAACAGAGGCTTCTGGAGGAGGCCAACAGCAAGAGGAATGCCGCAATTCAGCAGCTCCGCGCCACCTTTCAAAGTGCGTGTGCCGTGCGTGATGCTGAGAAGGTTTCGCCTTACTTTTTCTCTTCTCTTGACACGCTTCGCCTCCCCGGCCCCGCTGCCGCTACACCTCGTCGCCTTGGGAGCATGTCTTCTGCTTGATGCGAAAATCGCTGTTGTCTCTGTCTTGTCTCTGTCGTGTCTGTGCCGCCCAAGGGTAGTTGAAGTTTTTTTTTGGCAAAGTATCGTGCTGGGGTTGAGTTTTATGCGATGTTTTGTTGGCTGCGCGATTTTGCGATGGCCCCCTCGTTGCTTTTGGTCGTGTGAGTTCCACCTCGTGCGCTTTGCAGCACTACTGCTACCGGCGGACCACATGTTCTCACGCGCAATAAAGGGGGTGGGCGGGAAAGCGGCAGGCAGGTTAGGCCTCTTGTAAAGTAGATCCGTCCAAAGGTCGGGTCGTTAGAGAAGTCAGCCCCACGCAAGCACAATTCCAGGGGCCACGACGGCAATCATTGTCCTGTTTTAGACCCGTCCAAGTTCTACACGGGAGCCGTAGGCGCCGCCGAGACCCGAACCCGTGATTTTCGGACTATGATGACGCTATGCTGGCTCGTGCCTCTTGTGGCCTGATAGAAGTGTCCAGACTGAGGTTTTCTGGTGACGTACGGGCACCCGTAAGCCACAGTTGAGTAAACACGGCTCTTGCGCCAGCCAGCTGCTAAAAAAATAGGGAGGGTATGTACAGTGTCCCACCAGAGTGACCGGCACTATTCAGAGAATGAGACAACTTTACAAAGTTCATCCGTGCCCCGCGATTTCACGGGCACAATACGTAGCGGCCTTGTTCAACTGGCACTAGTGACGGACCCTCGGGCAATTAGTAATCGTTGTTATTGTGCTTCGGGCGTGCCGCCCGGTGTGTGCGCATCGTTTCCCTCCCTCCCTCCTCAGGCGGGGACCACCACAACCGAGGCGGTGCGGACGGCCCGAGAGCTTCCTTCGACGGCGATGCGCATCGCGAGGAGCTGCTGAACGTGAGGGACGTGGTGGAGTTGCTGAGGGACTTCCTTCGAGCCAAGGCCCTTACGGAGAGCGAAGTCAGCCGCGAGGTCCGTGCGTTTGCTTGCGTTTTGCTTGCGTTTGTTTGTTACTAGCATCGACCGCCCTACACCGGCTGACCGATGAAGATACGTCAGTCTCAGTTCGGTTGAAAACTGAAGTGTTTGTAAAGGCCATGATCTGAGACCCCTGAGGCCGCGTCATGGGGGGAGTTTGTGTATGGCCCTGAGGCTGACTGCTGTGTGTCCTGTTTCCGAAAGAGGTTTTGGGTTGGGTTTGCACGTGTGTGGGGGGGCGGGGGGCGGCGTACGTGGAGCTCGCGCTGTGTTCAGGTTGTCTTAAGGCTGCGGTACAGCAGGACCCCCAGCGCTCCTAGGGTGTTTGGAGAGAGACGTTGCTTCTGTCCATGTACATTTGTTCTTGTAGGGTTGACGAAAACCACGTCTTGTAGAAGCCAAACCAAGTCTTCTAGAAGTGAAAAAAGCCCTGCTTCCGTCCCCGTGCGTGGTGTTTGGTCGCTTGCTCAGGCGGAGGAGTTCATGCTGGTAATTCTAGCGGTCGAGGATGAGGCGAAACACCGCACGCGGGTGCGAACGCGGGCTCGAAGCGCGTCTCCGACCAGTCGGCGGCGGGCGTCTGAAGGTATGTACCGCCGTGCCTTTCTTTCTTTGTTTTTGTTCTCTTTGTTCTTTCGTCCTGCGTGACCCCGCCTTATTCGACAAACATGTAGTCTACACCGCAAGGTGTGTGTAGTAGACTGGTGCCAGCGTACATGGGACGGACACACACACAAGTTATCCCATCCACCTCCATAGCCTACAGCGGCGTTGTTTTGCTCCACCGCACCGCTGCCTCGTACTCTATCTACGTGAGTGTACTCGGTCAGGAGCTACGACGCGGGGTTACCTGAAATAGATCCTCGGCAACGTGTGCACTTCAACCTTTTTAGCGCTGTAACGGTTCGTCCATACTCGTTTCCTCGTGAACAAGTCTGGTCTGATATTACTACCGGACAAGCACTAGCATTTCTGGTGATTAATCGCTGTTCACGACCAGGACTGTAACCAACCAAAGGCCCTCTTAAAACGAACGTTTCGGGGGTGTGCTTGTCTAGTCTTGCACCGCGAGGGAGACATTTTCGACGCCATTCTAGTGGAGCCGGGTGTCCCGCAGAATGCATCCCCGTGCGGTTCCGATAAGGAAAGACGAGCCTCTGCACTGTTGTGGGCCGTTGGTGCCCGGCGGGTGTCTGTGCAGGTAGATAACCTACAGTACCAGATGGTCATACACCTTTTTTATTCGAGAATCGCGGAGTAGGCCTCTCGTATTTTGATGAAGCAGCCAGCAAATGCCATGTTGTACCCATTCGGCTTTTCGTTTCTCTTCTTTCTTTCACCCGAAGCCTTCCGTACGTTGTATCCGTCGTCCTCGTCCCCTGCCATGAACGAAACACCAACCGGGCGTCGTTCGTAGGGTCGCCCTCGACACCGTCGCGAGTCCCCGCCGACGACCTCAGCGATCTCGCCGCCCCCGGCACCCCCAGCACCGCCGGCTTCGGCGGCGGTGTAGACTCCGGTTCATTCAGCGTCAGGAAGCGGTGGCGGACCACGCTGCGCCCTGATTGGCGGGGGAGCGGGCGCAGCGTGGCGAGAGACCGCTCCTACGAGAAGCCGTGGTTGCCGGGGGCGGCAGCGCCGGCCGGGGGCCCCGTGAAATCAAGCGCCACGGCGATGGACACGCCTCCTCCACCAAAGTCTTCTTCTTCTCCCGCCTCCTCCATGCCAGAGGAAAGCATGGAGGGGTTTATTTGTCCGCAGTGCCGCATGAGGCTTGCGTCGCCCGCCGCCCTTCTCGCCCACTTCCACATCTTCCACGGCAGCGGGGGGGGCACCGCAAGCGAGAGGGGCAGAGCGGACGGGGAGNGGGGGGGGGGGGGGGGGGGGGGGGGGGGGGGGGGGGGGGGGGGGGGGGAGCTTGTATTCGAGCGGGAGGCGGAGCAGGAGGAGGAGCGGCAGGGGGACGCCGCGCCGCAGCAGCTGGAGGGGGGTGAGCATCAGCCTTGACCACTTCATCTTGGCACTCCAGAGCTTCATGGAGGAGCAGCCGGACGAGGGCTACGTGATGGCGAGGTGAATGTTTGCTTTTCGCTGCCGTACGTACCGTGTACGACACAAGATAACACATCCCCTGGGTTTTCAAAGCTCGATTACAGTTGAGGCTCGCACTTAAGAATATGGCACTCAAGAATATGATGCTAAAAAAAAACAAAAACTAAGAATTTGCCGGCGAGAACACGTGCTCAGATTGCACCTGCAGTTAAGAATAAGAACGCACGCCTGAGGTGTACCACTGCTGCTAAAGATAAGAACAAGAGCACATTCAGCAGCTGCGATATAAGAACATTCGAACGGGGATGGGGGGACGGGCGGGGGGGTGATCCAGGTGTTGGATTTGGCAGGGGGGTAAGTGTGCCGAAGGTGGGTGCATACATACACCTCGGAATCTGCAATTTTTGCAGAGGAGAGGGTGGGCACTGTACACGTCGCGCCCCCTTGGCGGCTGCCAGGCCACGCACGTGCAGCGGGCCACGAGTTGCCTGCCGTACAGGGGGATCTTGTCCCTGTCCAATCCCTTATCCCATGGGTTGTTGAAAGATCTTGGCAAACTTCCAGAGTTGAAAGGACGGGGTCTGATTCTTGACCGTCACTTCGAGACGATAAAAACACATGCGAAGGCGGGAAACTCTGTTGCGAAGAAGCGGTGGGACGCCGTCGAGAGCGCGTGGGGGTTGAAGCAGAACGGTATCTTCGACGAAGGAGAGTGGATCGTGCAGATTGATGGTGAAATCCAGGGCATTACCACCAGCACCCGCCTGTCCTTGTCATCCCAACAAGATGCCAGCAGCGCACGAGGTGCTGCTGCACCTTCTCAGCACCCACCTGCTGCTGCAGCGGGTACCGCGAGGAGGAAGGTGGATCGAGGGAAGCACGCCAGGGAGAGAGCTGCGAAAGGCACGTTAGGCGGCAACATCTGCAACGCGTTCTCGATTGGCAGCGGACAACCGGTGAGTTCGGTTACATTTGTATCCGACGCACGCTGTTGCTTTGCTTTGCTACACATGTGTTTTTTTTTTTAATTCCCGATAGTCTAAGCAAGAGAAAAAATGAAAAAAGGTAAGTTGATTAGTCTAATGTGACCCAAACGAAACAGACGTCATCTCCCCACTCTCTCGTGTGATTCACGATAGTCTTTTCAAGGAAGTATTCGTTCAGAGTGCGTAGATACTTATGCCAGCGACATCCACGGAAGTTTGTCAACAGCGCCACAACTAAGAGCGACTGACACGTCACATGGCTCGTTGAATCCCCTACACGGCAATTCCGCCCTTTCCCATCGCACCGAGCAGATTGAGCGGACTCGTGGTGGGGAAGAAAGAGTTCGTATCCGGAATCAGCTTCCCACCTCCGGCCCTGGAGTCCCGCGATCCTGCACTCACCGTCCCATGACCTTCGTGAACGAGCAAGGCCTTGGGATCCACGCGAGAACGCAGCACAGCAGTGCAAACATGTCCAACGGCGTGCGGCTGCGGCGGATGATACGGAAGAATCTCGAAGGTCGTGTCCTGCCGTGGGAAGAAGCCGGGCCTGGGCGTTGTTAGCACGTGAAGGTCGATGATGCGACGGGGGCGGCTTCGTTTGTCCTCCAGCGGAAGCTTTCTCGATCTAGACTTGGAAAGCGACGGCTTTATGGACCGCAAAACCAAGGAAACTCGTGGAGCTCCCAAGTGCAGGCGATACGACTATAGGTTCAAAGCCAATGCTGTCAACCAGCTGCCCATCCTCGACGACAACGCCGCGGGCCTCTGGAAGGAGGAGAAGCGCACGCCTCTTCAGTACTTAGAGGATCGTCTCAAGGTTCACTACAGCAACATCGTGAAGTGGGTCAAGGACGAGAAGGCAATAGTCGCGGCGGCAGCAGACGACGTGAAGAAGAGCCTCCTCGCCAAGCAGCAGCCTAAGCGGTGGTTTCCTGAGGCAGAAAAGGGGCTTTAGAAGGTGTTCGTGGAGCGGCGTAAGAGGAAGCTGAAGGTATCGACCTTGTGGCTGACGATCACGTTCCGGAAGCTCGTGCGAGAGATGTATCCCGGGGACCAGCGGGCGGCGGCGTTCCGCGCATGCTTCAGGTGGGCACGAAAACGGGCCAAGAGGCACAACCTGTCCAAAAGACGTCGGACCAACCTCAAGAACAAGTCTGTTGAGGAGCGCCTACCAAAGATCCAGCGCTTCCGCCGACTGTTCGCAAGCTCCTGCAAGAGCCGGTACGGTACAGGGCACCCGATGAGTCGGATGTATCGGCGATTACGACGGTCGCAGAGAGGGAGTCCAGAGTTCCTAAGTATGGCCAATTGCAGCTCTGGGAGCGTTGGAATGTGGATCAAGCGCCTTTGGCATTCGTAAACGGGCTGCTCGATACGTGGGAGGAGCGACGTACGAAGCGTGTCGCCATCTCACAGCCCTTTCCTGGCCTAGAGAAAAGGCAGTGCACCATGCAAGTCATCTTTGGTCCGGGTGAGAAGACCTTGCGAATTTCGGTGATTTTCCGAGGCATGGGGAAGCGAATTTCGCCGGTGGAGAAGGCCGCGTACCACAAGGACGTGGATGTGTTTTCTNAAGCGCCTTTGGCATTCGTAAACGGGCTGCTCGATACGTGGGAGGAGCGACGTACGAAGCGTGTCGCCATCTCACAGCCCTTTCCTGGCCTAGAGAAAAGGCAGTGCACCATGCAAGTCATCTTTGGTCCGGGTGAGAAGACCTTGCGAATTTCGGTGATTTTCCGAGGCATGGGGAAGCGAATTTCGCCGGTGGAGAAGGCCGCGTACCACAAGGACGTGGATGTGTTTTCTAGGAGAATGCTTGGGCCGACCAAAAGTTCTGTATGGAGTGGGCTAAGAGGTCCTACTGTGAAGGCCTGATGCGCGGGCGGGGTGAGCTTCCCAAGGCGAGGTCCATTCTTATCATGGACAACTTGCACGCGCAGACGACGGACGAGTTCAAGGATTATCTTGCGATGGAGTGCAACACTCTCGCCTGGTGTGGCCCTTCGGCGTGCACGGACGAGGTGCAGCCAGTTGATGCAGGAGCCGGACGATTTATGAAGGTGGAAGCTGGGAGGCAGATGGACATGTGGCGCGAGCAGTCGGACAACCTCGAGAGGTGAGAAACCGCGGCGTTGACAGCTTTTGATCGGTGGGTACTGATCACTCAGTGGATTGGAGCGGCCATGGCAAGACTCAATAGCCATCAGGCGTTCCGGTTCTGCCTTTTCGAAAAGTGCGGGATGGCCATGACTGTGGACGGCTCAGGCGATGATCGGATCACCTTGGAGGTTTTGGACAAGCCGTACACCTTCGCAAACGATGAAGACTGTAGCGAGGACGAAGAAGGTTTGGAGAACGGCAGCGATGAGCCCGAGGGGCGGGGGAGGGAGGGCGGTGGACGTAGGACGGTCGTGGAGGGCGCTGATTCCAGCGATGATGAAGACGACGGCGGTAAGTTTGATTTGCACTAGACCCAGTCTTCGTCATTTCCTTGTTGATGACGATGTCCATGTTGATATTGCTTGGATCTTGCTGATGTGCTGTTTCCGCGTTCACGACTACGAGCAAATATGATGGGTTCATGTGGAGTTTCGGCCGTGACACCGTACTTCTTGTGGTGTTTCACGGTGTCCCGTTCGCAGGCACGTCTCAAACCCAGACCGATGAGCTAGCTCTTGTCGACGACGACGACAGCATGGACCCACAAGACCCGAAGGACGAGACACAAGGAATGGAGATCACGACAGGCTTTCGCATTCAAGAAGTTAAACCCGTTGCTCTTGACAGATTGCTTTTGCGACGTGGAGTGCTCGTTAGGCTGGGGATGGGGTGGTTTGGAGGGTTGATCATTCAGCAATCTCAGCAGGACACTCGCCACCTGTACGACTACTGTGTGCAGCTGGAGCAGCTCGACCAGAGTACGCGCAAGATGAAGCTGCCCTTAGACAAGTACACCGGGGATCTGGGTGCGGCGGTAGGCTCCTGGGTTTTGCTTGAGAGCGTTAGTAGATCGGGGAGGGTACGCAGGACCAACGTCACCTTTGTGGACCAAGATGGTTGTCAGTTGCTGCTGCTTGCCTTGGTGTGTTCTTGTACCAAACAACAGCATTGTTCCTCATGCTAAACACTATAAACACTCTGGCGAGTGCAATTGACAGCCGCCAACAAAGTACGTCGTCATACAACGTACGCCAATAGGGCCAATTGGTGTTGAATTAAGAACAAGAACATGTCGCTGGAGAAAAACGAGACGGCGAAATAAGAACATGGCCAATAAGAACACGTGCTCGGGTTGGGGCAGCCAATAAGAACTGAGCCTCGCTCAACATCGGAGGTTCTTAAGTGCGGGCCTCAACTGTACTCCACGACGAAAAGGATGCATAAACGAAACGATACGTTTTCGTAGAGTTCTCGACCAGACGGCTTCAACGCCGCCGTTTTCGACGCTTCGAGTCTCTCTGCTGTTAATAAATCGAGCATTGAAAATCGGTCCAGGGGGTGTGTTGTCTTGTGTCGTATATTGTAGGCATACATAACCTTCGTGCTGAAGCGATGCCGATGACCTGCTGTACCGCAGTCTTGTTTTGGCGGAGTTGCGTAACCAGATTCGTAAGTATAGATGTACCCCATATAAAGAATCCGAAGGCCACGTTTCCATGCTTCGCCGCAAGTTATCTGTTGGAACTTTTGGTGGCACATAGCGTGCGGGTGTGGGGGGGGTGGGGGTGGCCGGCCATGTGGACAGGAGGGGACCCTAAAACAACTTCCCCCCCTCGTCTGAAGCAGACATATGCATGTGTTCAGCAACTCGGGTTCAAAACCGAAAACCGGACCATGATACGTTTTTCGTCCTTCTGAACAGACCCGAGACAAGAGAATGCCGTGTCGAAGCCGTCCTCGGCACAATACGTCGGGGGGTTCGCCGACTAGAGGGCGGGGTATTCAAAAACACGGTTCTAGCGGAGACATTTTTGTCTTCTTCTGCGCAGTCGTTCGCACAAGTGGCGTCTTGTTCTCCTTTCCAGCCCCCATCCAATGCTTCGGCCACACTCAAAGACCATCCCCCTTTTGGACCGACCCCCACCCCCCCGACCCCCTAGCCCGCCCGCACACAATGCCGCCCGCGTGTCCCCTGTCCCCTATCGCCTGGTCCCCTTTCGTTTCGTCGACCAGGTGCGAGGAGTTTGCCTCCGAAGACATCGAGCGCCGGATTCTGGCGGGTCACCCGACGCTGGCGCACCGCCTGGCCGGTGAGAGCTTGGTGGGGACGGCGGCACTTTCACTCATACCTGGAAGTGCCCTAGCTGTGGAGGTAGATTTCTCCCTAACATTCCCCCTCGTGCTTTTTTGTGGGGATCGCGTCATTTACGCCCCTAGGATCTTTGTCTCTCGCTTTCCTCTTGGAAATTTACACGGCATGAGTAGCCTGTGCGGTCTCTTGGCGCTTTTATTTCTGCCATCCGTAGATGAAGCCGCCATTGCATCCATCAGAGCCGATCTTGAGCTTGGCTTCCGCTGCCACTGCCGCTGCTGTCGTCTCGACCCCGCCACCTGTTCTCTCCTCTCCCCGTGCGCGCACTGAATTATCACACATTGTTTTCTTTTGAGCCGCTGCGTCCTTCATCTTATTTGCTCTTGTGCCCCTGTTTGCCTGTCTTCCTCCTGCGTGCTTTTGTGGTGGCGTCTATTGTTGACGTAATAAATACCCCCACCCCCTTATTTCCCTTCTTTTTGTGTCCACGTTCTTTATTTTTCTCTCTTTTTTTTTTTTCCCCCCGCCGAGAACAGCTACCCCGCCCGCCGACCCCCTCCCCGAGTTCTGGGGCGTGATGAAGAGGGAGGCTGGCGCAACGAGGCTGTCCGGCGGCGGGCAGCAGGCCCGCGTGCTGCAGACTCGGATGGTGCGCGCCCTGAAGAGCTACCAGATCGCACGCGCCGCGTGGGCACACCTCGTCGTTCCCGCCCTCTTCGCGGTGCCCAGGTATGTGCAGTAACGTCAAACACATCGACTACACGCGTTATTTTGCGCGTCTCTGTGTGTGTTCTCCCTTCCCTGCCCCCTACTATCGATGCGCTTGGTGCCGTTGGGCGGGCGGGTGCCTGGTGGTAACCTCCCCGGTTTCGGCGCCTCTTTTGTGGGCGACGAGAAACGTCTGCAGCTTAATTTAACGGAATGTCTTTTTCGACGATCTCCCGAAAGTTGTAGGCTCGTGTCTGGTGGTCCCCTCCCTGTTTGCGGTGCCTTAATTGTGGGCGACGAGAAACGTGTGCCATCGAACGTCTGCCAATCGTGTTAGTGTAGTGAAACCATCGACGATCTCTCAAAAGTTGTAACCTCGTGCGCTCGCAGGAAGTCGAACCGTGCGTGTTTTCTGTCTCGGAGGCGTGTAAGCATGGCACAGGTGTCGTGTTGCATAGCAGTACAAAAGTTGCACACCCACACGGCACAACCTGCATGTAGCATGTTATGTAAACCTTTTGGGTCCTCAGGAAGAACGCCATTTTGCGTCCCTTTCTGTTATTTTTTTGTGTTTTACATTTTTTCAAGCATCAGCAAGCACATGCTTGCGCCGCCGGCTTTGTTGCTTGTCGCCCAGACGACGAACTGCCCTCCACCGCCCAAAAAACACCCCAACACACACACACACACACACACACACACACACACGACACGATGTATGCACCCGTTTCAACCCCGGCCCACCAAGGTGCGGATCGATCAAGGCGTCGTCGGGCAAAACCTACTTGCCCATGCCGTGCCCGGTCCGCGAGGGACAGTCCCTCTACGTTGATAAGCCCGCGGTCGTCATCACGTTCCTTCCCCCGGAGCTAGGCGGGGTGGCGGGGGTCGAACCCAGCCGCGAGGTTATGGGAAAGTCGTCGGCGCGGCCGCCGGTGGCGGCGGCGGCGGCGGCGGCGGCGGCGGGAGCCACCTCCTGGGGCGGCGGCAGAGTGACTAGCGGACTGCTGACCGGCATCATGGCCCAGAGTAAGGACAGGGGCATGAGCGGCGTCAGGAGTTTCTTGACGTTCACCTTGGACAGACCGGCCGTGGTGAGCTCGAGTTAGTTACACGGCTTTTGACATTGGTTTTGTAGGACAACAGTGTGGATTTTACAGCGACATCGCTTTTGCCCTGGCCATAAAAAATGGGCATGTTGCAACTACTGTTGAGAGGAAACATTATTTAGTGTTTGAGAGAGTATTTTTTTGGTTCGCCCCGACTCTCTCTGACACCATAGCCGCACCTGTATGTAGCAGTGGCGTTTGGTTACGTGATGTTCGACATCGGAGCAGGGAAGGGAAGGGAGGCATGTCGGCTCATTGCCCGGTGCCAACTGAGTACCAGGTAGCACAAGCTCGCGAGACAGACAACGTGCGATAGGGTGCTCCAAAAGAGTGCCCGTTCCCCTCTGCGGGATTCCCTTAACTATTGCATTACCTTTTCCTTCCTCGCTGCAGCAGTTAAACTGGCTTCTCGAAGCTAGCTTTCTCGAGATTGGGGGGCACCGTAGGTTCAAAGAACTTGCGATACTATCTTGCCTTCCTTACGCTGTTCTTCCTTTCGGAGGTGCTGGTTGAATCCCGCCATTTGCTCTCTTACCCCGTCCGTCTTTCCCGCCCAAACCCCCCTAACCCGATGACAGGTGTATGTCTGCTACGACCAGCGTCTGAGGAGGCTCCCCGTGTGGCTCATGTACTTCGAGAGCACCGACTGGGTGGTGCAATCGACGGATGCCACGTTCAGGGTGTGGAGGAAGCGTTACGCTCGGGGACAGGTGCGCGCGGTCTGTTTTGTGTCTTTGTGCCGCCTGTGTGACCAGGTTTGGTTCTGTGCTGTGTGTGTGGAAAGTCTTGTCATTGTGACAGTCTCCTCGTCCACCCTGCGTGACCCTGGATGATACGTCAAACGCATTCACACAGAAAGGTGTCTTGATTGGCGCCAGAACAGATGGGAGGAGTACCCACACACCTACGTTCCTGGGTTCGGGTGAGGGCTTTCGTATGCAGTGATGTTGTCTCCAGAAAGGATTGAAAGAGAGGGGTTCGGGTTCATTTCCGCATTCACATTCAGCGCGTTACGCATTTTCAAATTTGTCCCCCAGCCAGGGACCTTGTTTTTTTTGCTTTCATTAGTCAGCCGGTTGGCGCGGTCGATGCTTAGAATAAGGGCACATCCACGCACACACCCGTTCACGGGTCCCAGACCATGGGCTTGAGACGTCTAATCATTGGTCAGCCGGTTAGCGCGATCGATGCCAAACCACAAGGACAGAAAGACACTCACACCGCCGGAAGTGGGTGCTCTGTTTGTCGCTGTTCTTCCCGGGCGGTGGTACCGTTCGCCGCCAGCGAGGAGCGTCTCGTGCCAGGGAACGGTTGATCGTCCCGTCCCGGATGGTCGGCTTTTTGTTTGCCAACCGCGGGAACGATTTTCAGCCTTGTGGCCCTGCCTTGACTTCGGCGACTCTTTGTTCCGTCTAAGGTAGCCACCACCGCCCCGCATGCGATGCGACGCGTGAGACAGGTGAAGCTGGGGAGCAACGAGGGCTGGCGCAAGGGCTGCGCGCAGTACGTCGTCCTCCTCGGCGCGGACGACGGCGCCCTCGGCGCGCCGCCTCCTTCGGGAGGAAATCCCGCCTTCTCCCCCGGTCCCCGCCACCACCAGCACGACACCGGCACTACTCGTCTAGCACCTGCCCCCGCCGGCGGCCGTGGCGGCGGGGAGAGATGCACAACGGTGCTGTCTCCCTCGCGACCATCGCTGACAAAGCCGAGGGGGCTTCTGCCCGATGGCGACGCCGCGGCGGGAGAAGGGGGGGGCGGGGACGACGGGCTGCCGTCCCCGCGCTGGGTGCTGCGGCCGCAGACCGTGGCCGGGGGGAAAGGGTCGCTCGCGCAGGCGGTGCGCGCGCTCGTGGACGAGCGGAGGAAGAGTCGCGCCAAGTCTCGGAGTCAGCTCTTGCCAGGTGTGTGTGTGTGTGTGTGTGTGTGTGTGTGTGTGTGTGTGTTTGTTGTTAGCATCGACCGGCTGACCAATGAACGGACGTCCATCTCCATGCGGCTAACAACGGAAAAGGCTTCTGAAGGCCGTGATCTGGGACCACGTGATGGGGAGGTATGTAACGGGGAAAGTAAGGCTATTCTCCGGATTGAAGACGGGAAACGGTAACGTGTGGTGAGGGTATTCGTCACGGGCGGCCAGAGATATCAGGTTGTGGGAGCACGGGCTACAACCCCTGCCACCATCGCCGATGGCAGCATTGACCCAACCAACAGGGCGCCTCGTACTGTTTTGTATGCCCACCTTGATGTCGTACGCTTGGGATGCAACGTTTTTTGTGTTTTTTTTCTCACGTGTACTTTGATTCCATCGTCAGGCGGCACGTCCCGGTCGCAACTAGACGCGGCCGCCGCGACGGCGGCGGAGCTCGGGCTGGAGCTGGCCCCCGTAGAGCTACAGTACACGACCGCATTTGACTTGGGCCGGATGTCGTTCCGAGTCATCGACCCCAGTGCTGCTGCTGAGGACGCTTTCCACGTCAAGGCTGAGGTACGGGACTTGCGCCCTCCCTTGCGTCCCTGTTGGACCATTGTGAGTGTCGAGTGGCTAGGGGTTATCCGGTGGAATCCCTTGATTCTATGCCTCGCACTCGTCGAACTCATGTGGAACATGTCAGGGTCATCGAAAATGCACCAACATCAAGGGTACCCTTCCGCACAAACAGCCCCCCCCCCCTCGCGGTGGCCACACTGCTGCATCTGAACCCTCTTCGCCAATGTGTTGTGATTTTCCCTCCCTCTGACAGCTGTGCCTAAGCCACGCCTCCGGCAGCCTGGTTCTGCGCCACCTGCACCCGGGAGATTGGCTTGGCAAGCCCGACAGCCTTACCATGAGGGTGAACGCGGGGGGGCTGGGGACGTACTACAACCCCCTGGTGGACAAGAGGGAGCATCTGGTGGAGCCGTGGTCGGCGCTAGTGGAGTGCCACAGCGAGCGGGGGGATGCCACTACCCAGCTCCGGGTGGAGGTATAGTCGTGACTGCGACATAGGAGACATAAGAGGGTACCTAGCAAGAAGGTGGAAATCGGTTGTCACGGACCGGGCATGGTAGTTGGGTACCCTATTATTCCGGTGTAAGAGCGGGCTCTGATATAAGAGGGTCGAGGGCCTTCGTCACACCGCGCTCTTATATCGGGGCCACGACTTTACTATGATAACGCCCGGCTTGTGTGTGGTTTTGGGTTGGTTGTTGATTGATCGGAGAACGGAGGCTCTCTTGGTTTGCTGTTTCTAGTTTGCATGGAGAGGGGAGCAACCGCTCGCATTGAAATGCGGGGTGTCTTCTGTGGTTGACATTTGAGTCATGTCCGAGACTATCGTGCCGTATGCATCGCGGGGGCGGGACTTGATTTCCGTTAATCGCATTTGCCTCACGACTGCTAAGGAAGCAGCAGCAGCGATTGATAATTCAACGTGGCCTGTCAGCTTTCTTTTCGTCTCCCCCTCTCGCGTCTGCGATGTCTTGCGCGTACTGTTTCCCCCGTGCTGGGCCGCTCGCTTAACAACGCCTCTTCCGTTGCTTGCTTTCTGGCGGCTTTGCTGTCGGCGCGCTGCACACGGGCCCGCAGATGCCCGAGCACCTCGTGGTGAACGTAACATCGGCCCTGGTGGAAAACATTAAGGACACCGCTTCTTTGGTGGTGCGGAACTGGGCCGGCAGGCGAGTCGAGCGCCCGCGCAAAAGGGGCACTTGAGCTGGACCTTGAAATCCATTGTGCGTCGAGAGCATTCTGTAGCACCCCACGCATCTTTCTGGCGGACCTGGCGTGCTTGACCCCTTTGCATACGTAGCGTGGGTCGTCCGACGATGATATCTCGATTGTTGGTAGTACTCCACCGACGTTTGCGCGAGGTTGCTGAATGCCTCTCCGCACATGCCAGCCGCCAAGAGGGAGTCCTGCTACAACTGCTTTTATATTTTGCTGCTGCTGCTGCCGAAATTCTGCACCGCGGCTCGTTGTCCTCAACAGGTATTCCGAGCCGTCGGTCGCCACCCAGAGCTCCGAAAGTTCGGACACCTTGCTCATTCGAAACACTCTCGGGGTAGAGGTGGTCGTCCAAAGCCTTGACGCGACCTGGGAGGCAGGCCATGGCGGCGGCGGTTGGGGCGGTGATGCTCCCGGCGGTAGCTGGGACAGAAGCGTGGACGGCGACATCGCAGCCAAATGCTTCGATGACTTCTTTAGCGAACAGGGCGCTGCTGCTGTCGCTACTGCTGCTGCTGCTGCTGCCGCCGCCGATGCTGCTGCTCCTACTGCCATGGCAGCGGCGGCCGCGGGCGCAGAGCATCCGTCCCACGTACGAGACTTGTCCCGACCGACGGCGGTGGCCGCAGGGCACGCGATTGAGTGCCGGTTGCCGGCCAAGACGGAGTGGCGAGACGGGGGCGTCATCGCGGCCGACGTCCTGGTGCACGTGCCCGGGTTTCAGACGGTGGGAGGCGTTCAGGTCGGGGGCAGGGGCGCCCGCGCGTACCCGCTGATACAGCTCTCCCAGCAACCCGTCGGAGACAGCATGAGTAGGCACGCCCGGGGAGTGGCGGAGCGGTTCATGCGCGTGCCCGTCAAGGGCGCCGCGTTGAACAAGGTCGGGCTAGCGCTCGTGGTGGATGTTCGCGAGAAGCCCGTCGCCGCCGGTGGCTCCCTCGGTGGGGGCGGTGCGCGCCGCGTCGGGGCCTTGAGCAAAGGCAGCGAAAGCCTTTTGGCGGCCTCGTCGTCCGCGTCTCACGGGGGCCTCGTAGCCGAGCTGCGGACAAACGTCTGCGTGCACAATGGGTCGGCGTCCGACGTGGAGGTGGACATGGTGGACATAGCATCGGCGGCGGCGGCAGTCGCGACGACCCCCGGCGTCAAGAGACCAGGGCAGCCGGCGGGGGAACAAGACTGGGGAGCGGCACCGGCGGTGGCGCCCCGGACAGGCGGCCGCGGCGGCGGCGGCGGCGGTGCCACCGTCGTGCACCTCGCGCCGGGATCCCGCCTGGCGCTCCCGCTTCCCGTCCTGTCCTCCTGGCAGTTGCGGATCGGGGGCGACGCCACCGACGCCTGGTCCCGACCCCTCCGACTCTCCCCCGCTCTTCTAGACCCGGCCGTCCCCAACGCGCTACGCCTGACGAGCGACATGGAGCGCAACTCCGTCTGCTTGAGAATGACCAAGTCCCGCGGGCGGGTTTCTCGCGGGAGCGACGGCAGCGGCGGGACGACGGCGGCGGCAGCGGCAGCGGCGGCGGCGGCAACCGCTGCTGCAGCCGCCGCGGCTAGGGGGGAGATGCACCCGGACTTCGGCGGCGACGGTGGCTTGCGGACGTCCCCGGCCTCGAAGGAGGGCGGCGGCGGCGGTTCACGCCGCAAGTCGGTTCAGCACGTGGGCTTCGACCTCCCGCCGCCCTCCCCCCGCTCTTCCCGGGCGTCGCCGTCCTCGCGGGACGACGGCGGCGGCGGGGTTGACAGGCCGAGGACCAAGGCGTCCATGTCGACAACCACGTCTTCGCCGGTATCGCCTCACGTGGGAGTGGCAGCGGCGGCGGCGACCTCCTCTGGTACCGCAGACTGGGTGTTGATGGTCCAGCCCTCCTACCTCGTGACCAACGCCCTGCCCTGCGCGATGGAGGTAGAGGTGCTCCAGCCGCCCGCTGTCGGTGGTGTTAGTGGCGTGGAGCGGAGCGTGCGCAGCCGTTCCTGGGGGGGCTCTGGCTCCGACCTTGCCGGCCACGGAGAGGTCGACCTGGGGGGAGGGTGGCGGGACGGAGGAGGTTCCAGCGTTAGCAGCGACGAGGACAGCGACGCTGCCTCTTTGGCGTCCTCGGTGACCTCTTCTCGCCAGACCCAGCAGAGCGAGGGCATGGCTAGGGCGGTGGCGAGCACCCCGACGGGGGTTCGAGTCAAGGCCGCCGTTCGCAACCCGGCCCTCGACCTATTTTTCCTACCGACATCGTCTTCGTCCGAAACGGGCGGCGGCGGCGGCGGTGGGCGCGCGAGCGGCAGGGCGAGGAGCGGCAGCCGAGGTGAGAGCGGCGCCGGGGGTGCTAGGAATAGAGGTAAGAGCCGCGATGATTCCGGTGGCGGAGATGTCGGCGGAAGCGGGCAAAAGAGCGGCAAAGGAGGCAATGATTCGGCGGAAGGTGGGGCGAGGATCTGGCCATGGCCGCACTCGCAGCAGCAGCAGCAACAACAACGGATGCGACCTGAGGAGTACGACACAATCCACGGGTTCCAGCGCGTGTGGAAGGGGCTAGTCGGCAGTGGACAGGAGGGCAAGGTAAATATTTTACCCAGACTTGAAATAACGCATAGTTATGAAGCAAACGAAGAGAGGGGCTACTTCCACAGGCGTGGCCAGGGATGTGCTGCTTCGTGCTTGGGACGCGCGGCATACGTATTCCAAGCAAAATTGCCGAATTTCCATGGATAGTTGGGGGGGACGAAATGCGGGACAGCTTTCTGATCTACCCCTCCGATACACTCTTGTGCATGTGGCGTTTTTTTCTTTCGCTTCTTGGTGTACGTTCGCTCTGTGTGGTTAGGTCCCGCAGGGCAACTCTCGATGTACTTCTCGTAGGCACAAGCTGGACCTCATGTTTTCTTTCACAACAATCATCTCTTGATATCGAAATCGTTCGAGCGTTCATGCCCGGTGTCGAAAATTGTCCGACCTTTTCCTTACTCATATTCGCCGTATCGCCTGTTGTGTGGCGACGAAACGAAATCGACTACGAGGAGATTCCAGGTACAGCCTTACGGCGTTTTAATTTCTGTCCGTGTCAACGATCGCATTTTTTTTTTCTTCATGTCAGTGATCGCAAAACATCGACAACGATACCATTTGGTGCTTGTCTTTTCTTGTTTGTTTAACTGACGCGCAGGTGGGATGCGTGGATAACGACCGCCCGTTCTACGTGCGGGTGCGGCTGCCGGACCCTGCGGCCGGCGCTAACCAGCCGCCTCCAGGACCCCGGTCCCCGCCCTGCTACCACTGGTCCGATTGCTTCGTCATCTCGACGGCCGACCACGCGCGAAGAAGCTTCTTCAACTCGCGGCAGCCGGAGGTATGTGTGTAGGTAGTTGGCGTTTTGTGCGTGTGTCCACCGAAGAGGGAACGTGCTAGTTCGGGGAGTTTTTTTTTTTTTTTTGCCCACGCATCACGAACAGATGCACACATCACCCCCCAAGACTCTTCCCCTTGTTTCTTGTTGTTGTTTTTTTTTTTCACATTCCTGCGGACCGGTACGGCATTGCTCACGGACAACGGCCGCAGCACAAGTAACAACAGAAACAAGAAGAACAAGCCTCAGAACCAACAACGAAAATTGCAACGTCGTGCCCCCGGTATCAGCACCTGGCACTGGCGACACTACCACACACAGCTCGCAACAATGTTCCTTCCCCTCATCTGTCCCTATCCCACCCCCCACCCCCCGACTGAACCGAACGCGATGCCTCACCGAATAGGATATAACCTGGCGAACGGCCGCAGGGCAAGACTGGGGACGGCCGCCGCCGGTGGTTGGCCGCGTCTCGCCGGGGGGGGGCTACGGACGGGCGACGTCGAGGGGAGGAGGGTGGGGAGGAGAAGGAAGGACGCGTCGGCAGCAGTGCCCCGAGATCAAGGCTGCTCGGTCGTGGGGGAGGTGCTCGGCACGGCGACTGACGTTTTACGCCCCGTACTGGATCGTCAACAAGACGGGATTAGCGCTCAACTACCGCGCCAGGTGCCAGGTGTCAGGTGTCAGGTGTCTTGTCTACCACGCATCTATCTACACGTGCCTTCCTTTTTTATTTTTGGTTTTGGTTTTGGTTTTCTCGTCCTTGTTTTTTTTTTTTCATATCCTTTAAGTTGTGTTCCTGTTTTTGCTTTGCTCGATGTATCTACATCTACAGGTGCCTGTTTTGTAGTTTTCCTGCCTTCATTTCTTTCCACCTCGTTTCGTGTGTGTTGCTGTTCTTTCCACTAGTGAAATATCAGTGCCTTCCCTTGTTCTCTTTGCTCTTTCCCATAACCCTCGTTTATGGTTTCTGTTGTTTCTCGGTAAAGGCCTGCTCGGGGAAAGAACGTTACGATGTCCCGCACAAACATGCGTGTGTGTAATGGGGATTAATGTAATGCAGGATTTGTCTGATGTGAGACCGTCAGATGAGAAAAGTGGATGCTCTTATGTTGATGTTTTTGAGTTCACAAAACGGCAAAAGGAAGATCCATCGTGGATAGCAAGATCGCTCATGTCACGGGGTATCAGGTTTAGGGTTGACCCCCCCCTCGACCTCGACCAAGGCAGACGGGGCGGGGCGGGCCACCGCCTATTAGGCGGTGCAGCAGCGCGGAGTGGTGCGTTTCTTCCGCTGCCGCCTCCGCCGCCGACCGCACTTTTAGCTCTCCGTGCAATGCTTGTTCTCGTCGCGACGGTATGCCGTCGATATAGGTCCTGCCGCACTTTCCCGTCCGACACTCTGCCCCGCCCCGCCTCACCCCGCTGCCCGGCTCCGTGAACACTTTGATATTTGGCTGTGTTCTAAAAGGTACCCCAGTAAATCGACCTTCAGCGCACGCCGCTCTGCAAAGAGTGGCGGCAGCGGTGGCCGAGGCCGCGGCGGCGCCAACGGCGATATCGGCAGCGGCGGCGATTGGGCTGGATCGGGGAAGTTCAAGGACGGCGGCGGCGGCGGCGGGCACGACGAGGGGGGCGGTTCCCAAAAAGGCGGCGGCGGCGGCGGTGGTGACTCGCGGACGGGCTCGGTTTCGTCCGCGGAAGAGAATGCCCGCATCCAGGTTTGTTGCTTCGGTCGGAGAGTCGTTTCTTCTTAGGGCTGGGCTACGGGAATTACGGGGAAGTTTTAGGCGGATGTATTACGTAGGGACCGTGTCCTCCAGTCTCCTTCGCCGCCCCCCTTTCAGTACTATTAACACACCACGTTATCGTGCTTCTCACACGTGCCGGAGTTGGCCCCCAATCGAGTTGACCACTTGACACGCAGCGGTCCGTTTGCCCGAGACACGGCTGCAGCTCGATGCCCGCGGTGAAGTACGCGAAGCAAAGGGAAAAGCAAAACACCGCCCAAGGCCCTTCCTTGCCTCCCCTTCCCCATCATTTTAACGGTGTCACTGCTGTTGCTCCTTCCGCCTCCCCTTCCCCATCAGGTGTCGCGGTTGCTCCTTCGAGACGCTACGTACGTGGGCGACGAGGAGCACCTCGGCTTTTTCGGCGGTAGGAGCCTGCCCGTCATGCTCGCCTGCCCGTCCAGGAAGCTGGAGGTGATGCCCTACGCCCTGGCGGCTAGGGCGGAGGACGCCGGGCTCTGCGTGTGCGATCTCCAGGTGATTTTTCGGGGTTCTCGGGCAGCGAGGGATATTTTCACATTTTTTGTTTCACCTCCATGATGATTGGAGGGTGGGGGGGGGGGGGGGGGGG